GCAAACATCAATGGGGCTTCTATTATGTGCCAGTCACTGTTGGGCACGAGGAATACAGACATGACAAAACAAATTAAAATTCTCTTTTGACATTTGAGAATTTTTGGTCATGAGAGTATAAGGTGATCATAATTATCCTCCTAACATACGAAACTATAAAATGGGACAAAATATAGGGGGGAACATTCTAAAGCCGGCAGTTCATACCTGTGGTCCCTGAAAAAAGGAAGAGAAATTAAAGAAGGGCAGTGCTCACTGAGCTTTCTGCTTGAAGGTTATGGCTGAACTTCAGCACAAGGAGGAAAACTCAAGCTTGTCAGTCTTGCTGAGTTAAGGGGACATATGCTATTCCAAGGGAGAAAATATGACTAAAATTTTCGTGACAGAGTACACATGAGGAGGAAGCTAACTAGAGAACACTGGAGAATACTGTGAGACTTTGGGTATATGTACATCCTATATAATAAAAGCCTAATATGCAAATCAACCGAACAGTAGAACTACCAGTTGGTGGGGGGCAGGGCCAGCGTGCAGACAGCTCCAGGCCAGCCAAGGCAGGTGCCAGTGGGCAGAGGGAGGGGGGTGGCAGTGGGGCAATAGGGTGGCAGGGCAATTGAGGGGCAAGGCTGGCCACTCGCTGGTTGGCGCCGGTCCTGATTGTGCTGCTGGTCACCTCCCGTAGAGGTTTATTCAGCTCAGCCGCACTGGCCTTTCTACTTTTATATTCAGTTCAAGCACAGCATTTGTAAAATCGGAGCAGTGGGGAGCAAGTGCCCTTCCCGCTGGACACAGGGACTTGAGTGCCGGCCTCATGTGCATCCCCAGGTCACCAGCAGATGCCGCTGTGACCAATGGCCCTGGCCCAGAGATGAGCCAGCCGAGGAGCGGGCTCTTCCTCCTTGTGCTGCAGCCAGGGCCACGTGCCCTCCCCACCTCCTTCTGCCTTGGGCCTGCATCCCTGACCACAAAGCCAACAGCAGCCAGTGAGTGGGCTACCAACCCAAGCGGCAAGCCACAAAGACTGGCAGTGCACCCCCATAGCCTTCAGCTTGTGACTCCTCCCAAGGCCCTGTCCACTCTGCCCCTCACTCACTGGCAGCCAATCGGGGCCCCCAACCTCCCGTGGTCCCTCTCCTTGGCTTGCCCTGCCCTCATTTGGGCCCCGCCAGGGACCCTGACAGGAGGGAGGAGGGATCCTGATTCCTCCAGGCCGGCATCAGTGACAGAATATGCCTGAAGACCAATTATTGGCACAATGTACCTCTGAAGCTGAAAGAAGCTGGTGTCGTCAACAATATATCTGAAGAATAGCCACTGACAAGTACTACCAATACTGGTAGGAACTGCCTTCACAGCAAAATTGAAGTAAATGCGGATTCAATTATCTAACATAGTTGTGCTCGAATGACTGTTACATATCAATTTTGCCTATCACTAAATTTCTCCGATGAAAAACCATCTGATGGAAAATTTACTTGATGCTGTAGCAAAGGTAAAGTTTGTCCAAATGATATACATTTTTGAGAATACCCAGCATATTTTTTAAAATCCTATATAATAAAAGGCTAATATGCAAATTGACCAAATGGTGAAATGACTAGTTGTTATGATGTGCACTGGCCACCAGGGGACAGACATTCAATGTAGGAGCTGCCCCCTGGTGGTCAGTGCTCCGGAAGCCGGGCTCATGGCTGGCGAGTGCAGCCGCAATGACGGAAGCCTCTCCCACCTCCATGGCAGTGCCAAGGATGTCTGACTGACAACTTAGGCCTGCTCCCCACAGGGAACATTCTCTGAGGACTCCCAGACTGTGAAAGGATGCAGGCCGGGGTGAGGGAACCCCCTGAGTGCACAAATTTTGGGCACTGGGCCTATATATATCAAAGCCTAAGCAACTGGCTGACCAGCCAGGAGCTATGACACCCACTGACCACCAGGAGGCAGATGCTCAAAGCAGGTGCTGTCAAGTGATACACCTGGAACCAGAGGAGAGGGAGCCCAATTCTGTGGTGTGTCACCTGAAAACCACCCTCTTGCAATCCAGGACCCCTTGGGGATGTTGGAGAGCTGGTTTCAGCCCAGGACAAAATACAGTTCCAAGTGAAGGACAATGACAGGACCCTCTAAGTCGAAGAATGCCCAAGGCTCAGTAGTCACCAGAACCACTGATGTTCCTCTGATCAATGAGACATGAAGTGGCGACTGCAGAAGAGCCACCCTTTAAGAATGAGGCTCAATTAGCTTTAAAATCATGGCTATTGATGAACAGCCTTTAAAATATCTTAGAAACAAACTTCAAAAGAATCTAATTAATCCACAAGTAATTAACTGACTATCATAAAAAGGCCACCATTCTTTGAAGGAACATACACAAAAATATCCAAGATTCAACAAGAGAAAATTAAAAATGTCTGGCATTAGTTGTTTTGTGTTTTTTAAATCCATAAGAAGAGCCCAGCTGGTGTGGCTCAGTGGTTGAGCATCAACACAGGAATGAAGAGGTCATTGGTTTGATTCCAGTCAGGGCACTTGCCTGGGTTGCAGGCTCAATCCCCAGTAGGAGACATGTAGGTGGCAGCTGATCAATGATGTTTCTCTCTCAGCAATGCTTCTATCTCTCTATCCCTCTCCCTTCCTCTCTCTCTAAATATCAATAAAAAACATACGTAACTCCATATGAAAAAGCAAGGAAATGTGACTCATAATGAGGATAAAAATCAGTCAATAGACATAAACCCACAAATAACTGAAATAATGGTATTAGCAAAAAATACATTACAGTTGCTAACATACATATGTTCCAAGTGCTTAAGTACATAAAGGAAATCATGAGCACAAAGAAAAAAGCAGTTGAAGACTGTAAAACACCCAAGTAAAATATCTAGAGAGGAAAAATAAAATATAACATTTACAAAAGTCAAGATTAGATATCACAGAAGGACATTAACTTTTAATTAATAGCAGTATAAACTATCCAAAATAAAAAAAACAGAGAGGAAAAATACTTGAAAAAAAAAAACCCACAAAACTTGACCTCAATCACTTAGTGGACAATATAAAATATACTAATATACTTGTTATTAAAGGCCCAGAAAGGGAAGAGAAAAAATAAGACAAAACAAACGTTTGAAGAAATAATGACTAGGTTTTTACCAAATTTGATATAAGAATTCAAACTCCAACTATGACGACAGAAAAAAAAAAATCACATCAAAGCATATTATTACTAAATTTTGAAAAACAATGAAAACTATACTTCAATGGCAGCCAAAGGAAAAGCAAACATAAGGATGACAGCAGACTCTGCACCAGGCAGTGCAGTCCAGGAAACAGCGGAGTGGCCTTTAAAACTGTCAATCTAGAATTTTATATGCATCAAAAATAACTTAAAAAATAAAGGTAAAATAAAGATCTTTAAAATCACAGAGGACTCATGGGCCACACAATATAGCAGCAATCTTACCCTTAGATGCCCATCCTATTAAAAACTGAGCACACGCATACACGCACACAGTAAATACACGTGGGTGAGGATCTTTATTGCAGCTGTGTACAGTGGCAGCAGGCCAGGAGCATGTCATTACTGGCAGCTTGTAAGTTTGCTAAGCCCCTGGGTGCTGGAATGTATGTGTGACCCCACATGAATACTTGTGTACTTTTGCAGTCATTATCAGGCATGTGCAGTGTGACAAAAAAGTTGAGTGGCCCACTGCCTTCTGGTTTCAGCTGTCATACTATAAACAAGTCTTCTTTCTGTGGTCCACACAGTGCCACGTTTTTCACATTTTTGTGGGTATTTTGTTGGTGTTGCACTGTTTAAAAATGACCCCCGGGAATAATGTTTAGTGCCCCCTGGGTTCTGAAGCACGAGAAGGCTGTGCTGTGCCTTACGGGGAAAACACGTGTGTGAGATGAGCCCCGTTTAGGCATGCGTTTCCGTGCTGTTCACCACGAGTTCATGTCAACGAGTCAGCAACATACAGTCAATACAATGTCTTTAAACAGAAACACGCGTAAGACAAGGTTATGTGTTGATTGGTTGACAAAAGTATTATGACCAGAGGCTCATGGGAACCTACCCTTAGGAACAGTGTTCACTAATCCAGTATTTTTGTGGATTTTATAGAGCATAACTGCCAGGAATAGCAAGGACTTTCTGGAGGGACTAAGAGAAGAATTAAGATGTAGCCAGCGCCGGAGAACATTATGCAGGCTTTAAAGATCACTAAGCCAAGCTCAAGAAGTTGCTTGAGAGCCATTCCCTAAAGTTATTGTTTTGTGAGAAAGAACACCACAGGGAGGCGTGACACTGCTGTCGCTTTCAGCTGGGGTGACACGTCTCTGTGTCTGTGCACAGCGTCTGTGTGTGGCCTGTGGCTGTGTGGCCACGTATCCAGTGACATACTCCAGGCTGGCTGCCCCGGGGCTCTTGCTAGGGGGGCACTGTGAACACAGCAGAAAAGTGGGGGCAGGGGGAGGTCAGTTGAAGGGAAGCAGCACTTTTGATTAATTTACTTACGTACAATTATCAGTGCAGTATGAAGAGCGTGAAGGCAAACGTAATAGTCCCCGTGCTCTGCCTGTGGGCCAGGGTCTGTGCTGGCGGAGGAGCGAGGTCAGAACGGTGTGCAGAATGCGACTCTATTTCAGGGACCAATCTGCCTGCCGTAAACTGTGAAGTATGAGAATGAACAAAGGGAGGTGCATTTAAAGGAGAGAAAGGTTGGGAGTCTTCTTGGGAAAGGCTATTTGTTTTCATGTTTATTTCTATTGATTTGTTTCAGTGGATACAGTAAGTATTGTTTTGTTGAAATTTGAAAAAAAATACAAATAAAATGGGGTGAAAGCATCAATGCAATGACTATCATGCAGCGAAGGGAAAGGGTATAGCCATCTTTAGCCGATGTGAGCTAGCCGGCTGCATGCTGGTTTTGTGAGCAAATTTCGAGAATGTGCTACCTGACAGGGATTCTTCACAGCCTGTGTTCTCTCCCTTCTAGGAATCGTTACGAGCCATCAGATATGAGATATCTCCCGATAAGGAATATGCACTTTTCTCCTACAACGTGGAGCCCGTGAGTACTCCGTTTTCCTGTCTGTGAGAGAGCTGTTTCCTGGGCTCACACCTCACTAAGCACTTTTCCTTGACTCTTCATTCTTAGTGATCTTTGAGTAGTGGGTCCTGGGTAATCTCTCTATGGCCCACTGCCACCTAGGAGAGAGGGAAAGTATACAAATTCCTCAACAGAAAATAAAACCACTCCTGTTAGGGGCTATTTTATAGGATTTTCTTGGGAAGATGGTGCAAAGTTGCATTTTTATAGAGATTATCTTACCCTGTTATGCAATTCTTTTTTTGCATTTTCTCAATCACATCATCAATTTTATCCCAAGAACAAAAGCAACTGGCAGTTTGTTCCTAAACTAAAATAAAATTATCATTATCTCCCAAGCATCATAATCTTCTAGAGAAAAGTTGAACTATCACCTTATTATATAAAATCCCTGTTTGTAGCACTTCATACATGAGTCTCTATAAAACGTCACCAGAAATTTCCACAAAATCTCATCCTAGGCGCTACTGGCAGCCTAAAACTGTCCCTTTCTTTCTTCCTTTCTCTTTTCGTTGACCATGATTGAAATTACTTCAATTTAAATGAGCTTTTTACTGTAAATGAGCCAGAAGGTGAGGTGTCTTTGTATCCATGAGGCAGATGCTCAGCGTGGGAGAGATTAGCGACTTTAGAGATGTCCGTTTGTGGAACTTTGTATCCTGGCCAATATGATGCAGAATCCCACGGCCTTTATCGTTCCTCGGAGGCCATTCTTGTTAGCGGTTCTGCAGCGCCTGCCAGGAGGGGGACAGGTCCCTGCGCTGTGACGCAGGCTGACAGCCTGGGCGAGGCTGAGAGCGTGGTCCCGGCACTGGGCCGGCTTCTAGACTTCACCCCCCCATTCACACCCACCCCTTCTAGACAACGGGGGGGTTGGCTGGCATGGAGATGCCGGTCCGGTTCTAGGAGTTGTAGAATGCCTTTTAAAAGCTGTTTGATACCTGGGTGCTTTATTGGAGATTTCCCTTTCATTCCTCTCGGTGCAGGGCTTTTCTCGGTCTTCAGTTTTCCGTCTTCTGGGTTGTTGTTGTTTTAAGGTCCGGCCCATAAAAGTTCTTACTTCCTCCCTCCAAATCCTTGGGACAGCTGATCACCTTGTCCTGCTGACTGGGGGAAGTTACTGCACTGACAGCCTTGGGTTCTGCACACCCTGCACACCCCGGCCTCGCCTGTTTGAGGTGCAGATGCACAGACCGGGCATGCGTGGGCGCTGGCGCATTCAGCTCCTCTCATCACCCTTGGGGACTGCCAAATGCGACACCCACACCTGAACTTAAAAACCACCTCGGCAGCTCCGTGACGGGCCTTCACAGGGATGGACAGTGGCTGGCTCTTGATCGCCCGGGGACGCGGCCGCCCGAGAGGGCAGAGCGCAGGCGGCCGGTGTCAGGGCGTCTCGCTGAGCACCTCTCATACTGGGAGCATCCCAACGCCGGGGTGCGGACCTGTGGCAATGAGCGTCCCACTCCTAGAGCCATATTTGCTCCAAAGTCCTGTGGAAGAGCCACATCTGTGACTCCGGGCCTGTGCTGGGAGGATTCTCCGCCGCCTGCCTGCTCTCCCCCAGCTCTTACAAAGAGTCCCTGGCATCTCATAGCAGCTGATGGCTGCGGGGAAAGCATTAGGCAAACATGCGCCTTCACCGTGCAGACCGCTGGCTGGAAGGGCAGCCTCCTCAGCAGGCAGCGCCCACCGCGGGCCTGTGGAGTGAGACTGTGTTCAGTGTTCCTCAACTGAGGGAAATGTAAGCAATTTGGAGTGGATTTGGCAAACTGCAAAATGATTCAAGCATTGATAACGTGTGCCATGTAACAGATATAGACCCCTGGGACCTGAATCAACAGGTAACTCCTGACCTGGCAGGTGGCTCCATTGGTTGGAGCATCTTCCTGTACAGGAAAAGGTTTCAGGTTCGATTCCCAGGTCAGGGCGTGTACAGGAGGCAACTGATCGATGTTTCTCTCTCAGGTCGATGTTTCTCTCCCTCTCCCTCCCCCTTCCTCACTCTCTAAAAAAATAATAAACATCTCCTCAGATGAGGATTATAAAACCAAATTATAGTTTTAAAAAGAAGTACCTCTCACCGTTTCCGAGTCCTGAGCAGTTATGCAAATGACTGTCCAAGCAAGCGTCCTGTTCTTTGGAGGAAACCATAGAGCAGAAGAGGCTTGGGATTCGGCAGCAAAACTTGGGCTTAATGTTCGGACGAGCTTCCTAACTTGCTAAACTAAAACGCAGACATTTCCAGCAAACGGGGCCGGATTTCCGGGGAAGCATCTGGGTCTGTGGTTCTGGAGGAAGGGGGATACCCCAGGACTTCCGAGCCTGTCTGCAGTGTCCATATAACTACCCTGGGTATTTTTTTTTTAAAGTTTTGCCCTGGCCTGTGTATCTCAGTGGTTAGAGCGTGGGCCTGTGCACCAAAAGGTCGAGAGTTCAATTCCCGGTCAAGGGCATGTACCTGGGTGCAGGTTCACAAGCAGAAGGCAACCAACCGTAGTGCCTCTCACATAGATGTTTCTCTCTGTCTCTTTCCCCCTCCCCCCGCCCACTCTCTAAAAATCAACGGGAAAATAGTAGTATACATCCTGGGTGAGGATTAGCACACACACAAAGCTTTGTATTCAAACAAGAGAGTCAAACAAAGCTAAAGAAGCCTCTCACTGCAGGGCTTTAGAAGCTTGTGTGTTCTCGTGCGGATTCCGCGTCTCCCATGGGTGTTCCCGCAGTGGCTCCTAGCTCTTCATAAGGAAACTGGAATTTTTCCCTTGGGTCCTTGCTCATCACAGTCTTGTCTGTGTATTTTAAAGGCAGCTAGGATACCTGGTTTATATGAACTAACTCTACTCTTCATTCAAAAGACAACCATAAAAAATATTTTTGTGCCAACAATCCAATTGCTAGGCATCTCTCATTTAGGTGGACGAATGTTTCACGTACAATAGAATTTCAGTGTATTAGGTTACAGCTCCAGGTGAGAAGTCTAAACAGTCCACATCGCATCTGAAAGTGAGCATCCTGTCAACTTCTGGTTCTCTTTGCTGCCTGCCCAGAGGTGGGACGAATAACCCAGCGCAAGGGCCACAGCGTCTCCGAGGAGCAGTCGGTGGTCCCTGAGCCGGTGCTGGTCAGAAGGGGGGCCAGTGCGCATGGAGGATCGTGACGTGCTTGCGAGGGCCCAGCGCCTGGCTGCACCCCAGGCCCACTTCTCCCCATGTTCTGAATAGAGAAATCTTAAAAGTGATCATCTTAAAGGGGAAATGAAATGGTGGATGTGACAAAGTCATCTGTGCAGACAACTCCGTGAAGCGTATGAGAAGCGAAGGAGGCCTGAGACGGAGCCTTGAGGAAAGTCACTGTGATCCTAACGGTTGTAAAGGATAATCTTCTGTGAGTAAGAAGAGGGAGGCCTGACAGACAGGAGAAAAACCAGCAGCACGTCTTGTTCTGTATAAACAGGGAGGAGCGTGTTTCCCGGGAGGGAGGCCTCCTCGCCGGGGCTCTGTGTTGGAGCCCAGTGAGTGTCGTCTCAGCCCCACTTCTCCCCAGGTGACCTGTGCTTTCCTGTGGCTGGAAATGCTCCACCTGCATGTCTACCCTGGCTTCCTCTGAGCTCCGGGGATGGGTGCAGGATGGGCTATTGGATGGCGCCGCCATGACCACTTTGTCCTGGTGCTTCTGGACCTCTGTGCAGCCTCTGCGTCCAGGAGTCTCTGTCCAGAGACCAAAAGGGAAGCATTACGCACAGCTTTGGTCCTCCCCAGGGAAGAGGGGCCCAAGAAGGGTCAGGAGCCCACACTTCCGGCGCTGTCTGTCTGTCTGGGCGAGGACTGGCTCCCTGGCCGTGTCCGGCAGATGGAAGGCCGGCCAGGTCACTCTGGAGTGGCTAGAAGCTGCCCGTCACCGCACACTCGGCCACGCCCCGAGGAGAGCGGTGCAGAAGGGACAGGGCTGGTGACTGAGTGAGGACACAGAGCAGAGTCTGGGAATCCGGGTGCGAGTCGTAGGTAATATCTTGGGAAGAGTAAGGTTCAGGAGAGATTTTCCACTTTAACTCCATCGTATTCACTGTGCCTCTTCCTCTCATTAGTTGCAATGTTGTGTCATTTCCCAGCTGTTGACATAAACTGGCTATTTGCCCATTTTTACATGGCAGCTGCTCAGACAGAAGGACGGTCTCCGGCCCTGGGGACCTGCATGGGGGTCTGCCTGTGTTCTCTATGGAGCAGCTGTGTCTATGGCACCTTCTTCTCCCTGAACTTCTGGGCCAAGTTCAGTGTGGCTTTATGCACTCAGAGTTCTTAAAACTCCATCACATACACAAACATATAAAACTAGGTAACAGAAGCAAGCGGTCTTATTTGTGAAAAAACGTATTGATGCTTCATGTTTATTCTGGAAGTGAGGATCATGCTGCTCAGCATGCCTTTTTTACTAAACTTCCCAATGTTATGAAACCTGTGCTCGGCTCTCGTCCTTGGACATCACAGATTAGCTGCTTTTAACTACGTCAGCTTTAATTTTATTGATGGTCTCAAAAATACCCTTTGAAAAAGTGTAAAAATTCTCCATTTGATTTGAGAAAGAGGACCCGAGCTCATTTTGCCAGGCCGCAATACCTACAGGTGCATAATGTTGTGTCTGAAATGTAGAAAATAAAAACGGTGTTATGTTTTTCTTATATGGGACGAGCACAAAATGTGCTTTTTCATATCATCTCGCTTCTTCTCAAAAGGAATTCCTGCCCCACAGAGCCAATGTTCCCGATTTTGTTTCTTTTCTATACAGAACTTCATAACATTTCTCAACGTACAGCTTTGGGAGAATTCTCTTGAAACTAAGGTAGACATTGGGGAAACAGTAATTTTTATTTTTTTACTTAAAAACTGTATTCCCTGTGCTAACTAAACTATAGTAATAGGGGAAATGGCTCTGAGACAAACTGATCTACCCAGGGATGC